TGCTGTACTGAACAGACACAGGTGGCTGCTGGCTGCTGTACTGAACAGACACAGGTGGCTGCTGGCTGCTGTACTGAACAGACACAGGTGGCTGCTGGCTGCTGTACTCAACAGACACAGGTGGCTGCTGGCTGCTGTACTGAACAGACACAGGTGGCTGCTGTACTGAACAGACACAGGTGGCTGCTGTACTGAACAGACACAGGTGGCTGCTGGCTGCTGTACTGAACAGACACAGGTGGCTGCTGGCTGCTGTACTGAACAGACACAGGTGGCTGCTGGCTGCTGTACTGAACAGACACAGGTGGCTGCTGTACTGAACAGACACAGGTGGCTGCTGGCTGCTGTACTGAACAGACACAGGTGGCTGCTGGCTGCTGTACTGAACAGACACAGGTGGCTGCTGGCTGCTGTACTGGCCAGTGATGGCTTTTAAATTCCATTCCAACGATACATGAAACATTTGAGCAGTACTTTCCAGAGTGCAACCCCAGTTCTTCTCATGAGAAAAGTAATAATCACTTGGGGGGTTACTTTAAAACCTGAGTACATTCATTAGGCATATCGAATCTTTATAATAGTGATATCAGTACACAGAAAATGGGAGCTAAGTGAGAATGATCTGAATATCTGATTCTTGTCCACTATTGCTTTTTACAGTCTCAGGATGTGAAATAGCCCAGAATGTTGCTTCCATTTTGAAGTGGAGCCCCGCAGGTGATATTCTGTAGGTGCACCATGTGAAAGGCCTCTGGGTGTTAAAGATGGAGATGAATTAAGGTTGGAGATGGAGACCCTCAGGGGGGCACAGGAAATGGTGTTACGGGTCTGTGGTAGGTGGCTGATAGCTACGTCGTCTCTGTAGCGTTGCCTAGTGTTTTCAGCTGGGCAGTTAAATTGCTTTCCACACGGCGGGGTTGTCAGGGCCCTGCATAGCCTGTTTGAATGTTGGCAGCGTCTAGCTCCCAGGAATAGACGGGAGCGAGTGGGAGGGTCCGCTGTGCAGGCAGGCAGTCACCGAGAACGCCGGCTTCTCTAAGTCCGCACCCGAGGACAGGTCTGGTGCCCAGCGGACGCTTCCTGTTCCGGGAAGAAGTGAAGCCGAGAGCTGCTCAGTGTCATTCCCCTCCGCAGCCCAGCACGTGGTGCCCGTGGAGCCGGAGCCGGAGCGGAGTTCGTGGATAAAAGGACAGAGGGATTACGGGATGCAGCCTGGGGAGAGGGAGGTCAGGGTCAAGGGACTGAGGTCCCGTGCGTGGGGTGGAAGGATGGCTTTTGCGTCCCACAGCGGTGGGGGCAGAGCAATGGAAGGAAACGGGGGACTTCGGGGGGCGGGCGACGTGGGACACGGGCTCGCAGCAGCTCTAGGGGCCGTCACTCGGGCGAGGACGCCTTTCAGCATCTGACGCGCTGACTGGCGCCCGCCTCTCAGGTACGGGAACAGCTCGCGGAGCTACGCTGTCCGGGTCGGGGATTACCACACGCTGGTGCCCGAGGAGTTTGAAGAAGAAATCGGAGTCCAACAGATTGTCATCCACGGGGCGTACCGGCCGGACAGCAGTGACCACGACATCGCCCTGGTCAGGCTGCAGGGGCCGGACGGGCAGTGCGCCAGGCTCAGCAGCCACGTCCTGCCCGCCTGCCTGCCGCTCTGGAGAGAGAGGCCACAGCGGACAGCCGCCGGCTGCCACATCACAGGCTGGGGAGACACAGGTAACGGAAGTGACAGGTCGGGCGGTGGGCCGGGTCGGTTGTAGAATCTTAGCGGATTCGGGCGAGTTGTTAGGAAGTCCTGCTGGGTGAGGTCATGACCTTGGGTTCGCATCCTGGGTGTGGAACCGAAGCCCGTCATACATGGGACACGGCTTCTGCGTAGGAGTTATTGTCACCTCTGGTGCTGACGGGTAATTGTCGCTTGTAACCAGTCCTCACGTCAGTGCAGCAGATGGGCCTTAGCGTGGCCGTGCTCACCACACCAGCCGAGCGGCCCCCACCTTCTCTGCGCAGTTCAGCGCCGACGCCTGCGCACCTGCTCTCGGGGGCTCTGTCCGTAGCGAGCCCAGTGTTGCTAGTTGGGCGTCCAGACTCGGTGCTGAGAAGCGGGTTAGTGGAGGGTAGGAAGGTGCGAGTGCCAGCATGACAAGGCAGGTGGTGGCCCGGGTGCCGTTTGAACTGCACTCGCGTCACAGGAGGGCTTTTATTTGAAAGATGGTCACGCCCTGAAGCTGCCCAGGGCAGCTCCTGCAGGATGGGCGCTGGAGGCTGACCGCCGTCTGGTTTGCAGGGCGAGCCTACGCCAGGACGCTGCAGCAGGCCACCGTGCCCTTGCTGCCCCGGAGGCGGTGCGCCGAGCGCTACCAGGGCCGCTTCACGGGGAGGATGCTCTGCGCCGGGAGCCTCCATGGACACAGCCGCGTGGACAGCTGCCAGGGGGACAGCGGCGGGCCCCTCGTGTGCGAGCGGCCGGGAGCCGGCTGGGCCGTGTACGGGGTGACCTCCTGGGGCTATGGCTGTGGGGCCAAGGGTTCGCCCGGCGTTTATACCAAAGTTTCAGCCTTCGTACCTTGGATAAAAAGTGTCACCAAACTCTAATTGGTGGAACCCTCAAGGAAATAGTACTTAAAAAATGTGTTGGCAACTTTCAACCTCAGCGTTGGTCCTCAGCCAGAGGCCCACCAATGGGGCCCGAGGTCCGGGGTGCTGATAGGACCGCGTCCCCTCCGCTGCCTGGGAGGACTGTGGCGTGAACGTTTCTGTAGAACCTCCATGTGGTACTGATTATCCTGAATTGGCATTGTCGCCTCCCAAGCTAGTTCCACTGGGGACTGACTTTATTCTCATTTGAACCTTACTGAACTCTTTTCTCAGAATCCTCTGGGTATTAATGTGTATACTGACTGTGCAATACGCTGTTTTTACCTGTATTTGGAGAACTTATAACTGAACCAGTGACGTATGGATTCATATTAAGTGCCCATGTTTGATGGAAAAAATACTCATTACCTCAGAGTAAGAGTGCCCGTGTTTCCTGTTTACATACGTTTAAGCTAAAGGCTGACAAAGCTTCATGCGTGTGATCTCTGTGGCCTCTGTCAGGTGAGAGAAGGGCCGAGGAAAGGGACCTGCTGGATAGGCTGTCAGGGCACATGCATGAACGAGGCCTCTGTGCCAGGCACACGGCAATCACCAGTGTTCTAGCCACCTTGTATGTAGCTAGGAAAATGTGGAAGAATTCCCGCTAACACCGGAAAGAATGTCTTCGAGTTGTTGGATGCACAGCCTAATTTACCCACCCGATTTGTTAGCACATCTACTCTGGTTACCTTTAACCACGTCACATGATAACTGGTGAACATGTTTCTTCCTTAGCATTGTTTCCTGCACCATGACCTGGGGGCCGTCTGCTGCCGCTTTACTGTAGATAGCCCGAGACCAGCCTGACGGTCCCGTTTAATAAACACTAACAGTGCTCTCCCTGCCTGCGTGGGGAAAGCTCCAAAGCTGTTTATCTGATGTAATGTACCCACCACTGTGCCCGGGGCACCACACTGCTTACAAAAAGCTGGTCAGGAAACAGGCCTGGGAGTGAGACAGCTGGTGGGCCTGGAATCCAGACAGTTCCAAAGCAGACAGTGGCATTGTGCCATGTTCTCCTGCCCAAAGGGGAGTTCCCTCCGGCTCATTTCCCTAAGTGCTAAGGACTAGCTGCCCCTGTAACCTTTTAGGACATTCCTGCTGGCAGTGCAGTCTCTGCCCAAGGATGGAAGGCATGCCCCCAGGATACTCCAGTGTCCTTCCAACAGGCGAGTCCTTCCCAAACCCCTGGTCGTCTAGTTCTCCTCTCTCCCAGGAGTAGAGTCATAGAAACGGGCAGAGGTCAGTGCAAACTTTAGGCTCAAGAATGGTTACGCGGGACCGCTCCCTCCTTCTGCGCCAGACTGTGTCCCGGTCTGTAAATCCTGAGCTCGGTAACTGGTGCTAACCTAACGGTGCTTTGCTTTATTGCAGAGCTGCGATGCTGTATCAAGTAGAGCAACATTATCAAAAGCCTGAGCTTTTAGGGGTTAAAGGGAACTTTTATTTAAAAGTGGCATAAAGTTCCCCTCAACCTCCAAGTCAAACTTTTGGTTCAAAATACTGTTTTCTCATTTGTTGACTGTGACTTCTGTTACGATACAAATGTGTAAATAAAGTGCAGCCTTTCACCTTGTGTAGCTGTCTAATTTGTGTGGTGACTCCTCTCCTAGAGGCGGTTAGACATGAACAGAGCACGGATGACGGCCAGTAGACTCACCAGGGCACAAAGCTCCAGGTGTGTGGCCAGCGTGCTCAGTGGATGAGCCTAATCCTATGAACCAGGTCAGGGTTCAATTCCGCCAGGGCCCGTGCCAGTTCCCTGAATCCCTGGGCAGGAGGCAGCCAATCAATGAAAATATATTTTAAAAAACCTTGGGAAAACAAGAAACTCGCCCCCAGGGTAACCGCCCCTCCCCTAGTGTATCACTGGTCACGCGGTTTGGACCCTGACCTTTCTCCCTACAGACAACACCCAGGCCTCAGTTGTTTCAGCTCCAGGCCCAGAAAAGCAAACCTGACCAGTGGTACACGGCTGCCTCAGGACCCCTGCCCTGGCACCCACCCATCAGTGATCACACCTGGGAAGCTGATGAATATTCTAAGGGTCCCATGAGACTCCACCCAGGGGAGCAATGGGCAGCAGCAGCTCCACCCGGGCTAACCCCCCCCCCGCCCCCAGCCCGTCACCACGGCCCCTTTCTCTGTGTAGCCCTTCCCTTTGAATTTCCCCGTTCTCCTTAAATAAGCTCTATGTTCTTTAATCACTGCCGGAGATGGCTATCTCGCTTGCCGGCACACCTGGGACTTGAACCTCTCAGAGGTGACCTGGTTCTCCTGTATCCACTTCCCCAAATGCTCTCCCCACAGAGCACCAGCACCTGTAAGCACCTTCCCACCTAGTGATCAGCCAGGGCACACGGAACAGCCAGACGAACCAGCACTTTATTTAATCGTAACAAGCACACACTCATCTGCCAACATCCAGGCATAACGCAAAATACTTCCTGTGGTTCCCAGAACATCGTTTTGTTCCCATCACATCATTTCCCAGCCATCCTGGGGCTGCTGACTCGAATCCCGTTGTCCTGGGCATGCAGGCGGCTCCCGGAGACCTCTCGTCCCTGCAAGGGAAGAACAGCTTTATAAAATCCCGGCTGCGCCCCTAACTCACAGGGCGGAGACCGCACAGGGCGCTCGGTCACCCCCCCCGCTCAGCCGGCAGGACGGTCAGTTCCGGCCTCCCGGGTCCTTCGCAGTAACACCAGCTCTGAAATACGGACGGAAAGGAAGGTACCGGACCGTACGTTCTCCATCACCCATTGCAACCATCAGTTCAACCTCGCAGAAACATTTGAAAAACACATCTCCGCGCAGTCACCCCGCACCCCCCGGGCTGCAGACGTGAAGAATGTCACTTGTGCAAGTCAGAATCTGATACCAATTAAATGGTGACAGCTTTGCCAATAAACAAGAGGATGCTCTTCCATGGCTAGGAAGGGAGACTGCCACAGAGACAGGTCCCAAAGACACATGGAGACCCCGCCCGCCCGCGACAGGGCCGCGAGCGACGCTACTCACCCGCCGGCGCAGGCGTCCCGCTCGGCCACTGGGCGCCGCGTGGACCCGACCGTCCGGGACTCGCCCGGGCGCAGGGCGCATGCGCGCCGCCTGGGACTCGGTACCTAGAGCTGCACGTGGCGGCCGCGCGGCCTAAGGAGCCCCGAGTCCGCCCGGGCCTCTCAGCCCGCGGGCTGCCGCTGCCGCCCTCGACCTGCCGCCGCAAGGCCCTCGCGTCGGCTGCATGTTGGCGAGGCCCGGGGGCTCCGTCCCCATCATCGCTTCAGCGCACAGAACACGGCCGCGCACGAACCACCACCGCTCACCGACACACACGCAGCGCTGCCCAGCGGGGAAAGGCCGCACGCTCCTGCGCACGCGCTCTTATACGGCGGATGACGCCTTCCGGGGCGCGCCGCGAGGGGCGGGGCTGGGAGGGAGAGAGCGCGCAGGCCCCGCCCAAGCTCCTCCCCCTTCGCCTTTTTCCCTCGCCCCTGGCAGCGGGGCAGCTCCCGAGGCTTCCGAGTCGGACGCATGCGCACACAGGGGCAGCCCCAAAGTTCTCGCGAGAACTGGAGATCCCGACGCGGGAGGGCGCTCGGCTAACGGATGGAGAGATTGAGTCCAGCCTCTTCCGGGTAGTTACCGTAGAAGCGGCCGGTGGGCGAGTCCCCGCAGTTCACCTTCGGGTGGGTTAGGCCACAGAGGGGCGCGGTGCTCGGGGGCGGGGCCGGGCTCTCGGGTTTGCAGGCGGCTCGGCCTGACGTCACCAGGTCAGCGGGGGCGGGGTCAGGCGACGCTCTGGCGGCCCCGCAGGTGCGTCCCCGGGCGTCAGTGCCCCACCCCGCGGCCCCCTCCCCGCCCGGCGCTGGCGGTGCAGGTGCGCCACTCCAGGCCGCCGCCCGCGACGCGGGGCTGCGGGCGCGCAGGGACAGGCCGGGCGCCGGGCACGTGCGCGTCCCGCCTCTCTGCTCCCTCTCGGGCAGCCCTGCTGCCGTGGGCCGGGCCTCCGCGGACCCGTTTCCGGGAAGTCGGGTCCCTTTGGCGGACAAAGCGCTCCCCGGCTCCCCCTGCCCCCGTCAGGAGTGAGCGCAGAGGCCCGGCCCTGGCCTGGGCCGCCGGCGAGCGGGGCTTTATCTCCAGTCTCTAGCCGGGCCGTCTGAACTGCCCGGGACCGGGGCTTGAGCGGGAATGCCTCTTCCCCTGTCGGGACTCCGGGGTCTGACGTCATGGTGTCCCCGCCGTTCTTTCCTCTCTCCGCCGGCAGATGGCGCCCCTCCCTGCGTCTCCACGCGTCTTCCCGGCACCCGGGCTCCCTGCTCCCGTGCTCCCTGCACCTCTGCTCCCGTGCTCCCGTGCTCCCTTCACCCGGGCTCCCTGCACCCGTGCTCCCTGCTCCCGTGCTCCCTGCACCCGTGCTCTCTGCACCCGTGCTCCCTGCTCCCGTGCTCCCTGCACCCATGCTCCCTGCTCCCGTGCTCCCTGCACCCGTGCTCCCTGCACCCGGGCTCCCTGCACCCGGGCTCCCTCCACCCGGGCTCCCTGCTCCCGTGCTCCCTGCACCCGTGCTCCCTGCACCCGTGCTCCCTGCTCCCGTGCTCCCTGCACCCGTGCTCCCTGCTCCCGTGCTCCCTGCACCCGTGCTCCCTGCACCCGGGCTCCCTGCACCCGGGCTCCCTCCACCCGGGCTCCCTGCTCCCGTGCTCCCTGCACCCGTGCTCCCTGCTCCCGTGCTCCCTGCACCCGTTCTCCCTGGTCCCGTGCTCCCTGCACCCGTTCTCCCTGGTCCCGTGCTCCCTGCACCCGTGCTCCCTGCTCCCGTGCTCCCTGCTCCCGTGCTCCCTGCACCCGTTCTCCCTGGTCCCGTGCTCCCTGCACCCGTGCTCCCTGCTCCCGTGCTCCCTGAACCCGTGCTCCCTGCACCCGTGCTCCCTGCTCCCGTGCTCCCTGCACCCGTGCTCCCTGCACCTGGATTCCCTGCACCCGGGCTCCCTGCACCTGGATTCCCTGCACCCGGGCTCCCTGCACCTGAATTCCCTGCTCTGTAAAGGCTGCAGCCCTATGGGATTGGGTCCATCCCAATGACATCCTTCAACCTTAACCCCCAAAGCCCTCCTTTCCAAATTAGTCATGACCTGAGACTCTGGGTCAGGGCTCCCACAAATGGATTAGGGGGTCGGGGAGGAAAAGGCAGCCATGGCACTACCTGCACACTAAGCCATACACACGACCGGAGGTGTTTTCATGGATGTACCCACTGGGTGAAGGAGCTGAAACACCGACCACGAGAGAGCGAGACGGCCCCCATATTCCGTGTGCCCGTTTCTCCACCCTGCGGGCCCTCCATCTGTTTTCTTCCTTCCTAACAGGTGAGATAGACTTGACATGGGACATTCTATTAGTTTTAGGTGTAGACGTCATGATGGATATTTTGTATGTTGTGAGATGATCACACCAAATCTAGTTCAACTCACCCCCACACATAGTTGCAATATTTTTCTTTGAAGAGGACTTTTAAAACCTACTCTCTCAGCAACTTTGAAATACGCAGAATGCAGTAGCATTAACTGTAGTCGCCATGCGCACATCCCAGCCCTGGACCGACTGGGTTTTGAACTGGACGTGTGACCGGGAAACACGCCTTTGGCCTTCCCTTTGCGCCTTTCCTGTCATTAATAACTAGTTGATTACAACGGTCTCGGAGGTTTGTACCTTTTGACTCCCGCACCCCCGCCCGCCACCCTGATCTGTCTCCCTCTGTGAGCTTGCTTTTCAACTTTTCTGTAAATGTAAAACTTTGAAAATAAAGCTAATAAAAAAGCATTCATAACTTTGCAGCCTATTCTAGTTTCACGTTGAGCAATGCTTTAGGGACCGTTCCTGTCTTCGGTTAGTGTGAAATTTGTGGGGTTTGGGAACAAAGCTAGTGGGTTTTCCCACTGTGAAGCCCCGTCTTTGAGACTTGGGATACTCAGGAGAGAGAATGTGGTATAATAAACCGGAGAATAAACAACTGACTGTAAATAAAGGTTGGCTCAAGGATTTTACATGTGGCGCGCCAGGCGAGCTGTAGGCCTGGTATAGTGAGACCGGGCAGGGTGCAGCTCTGCGTTTCGCACGGGACTGGAGCAGCGCGGTGCAGAATGCTTGCTCTTCAGCGACCCGCTCCGCCCCTCCCTGGCCGTTCGTGTTCTTGGATAGAGGCGCTGGTGGTTATCAGAGGAACAGAATTAACTGCACATCTCTCAGGAGGAAACAGCAAGTGGCCTGAGGGCTTTTTCTCACGCGTGCCTTGTGTTTTAAAAAATGGCTCGTCCATAAGTGATCAATGCGTCCCTGCTATACACAGGCCCTGTCTGGGAGCCAGGGCGAGAGCAGTGCACAGAACAGCCACATCGTCTGTGCCAGGGCTTGTCTTTCAGTGGCGGGAGTAGATGGAACCAGGACTGGGATCCCGCGAGAGGAGAACCCCTGGGAGAGGAGAACCCCTGGGAGAGGAGAACCCCTGGGAGAGGAGATCTGTGATAGGTCGGCTGTGCGTGACCCGAATCCTCAGGTGCCTGGCACCTGCTCTCATCTCTCCCTGGGCCCCGGGCCCCACCTGACAGCAGAGGAGACACCAGGCGGAGCTGGTCCCTGTCAGACCAGAGGCCCTGAAGTGGGCGGGGGAGAGGCAGGGCTGAAGCAGGCGCAGACCTGGCTGGGGCCCCACACCGGCCAGCCGGGCAGGCACAGAAGGGACAGGCGCCTGGCCTGCAGGTGCGCCTCACACCCTCTCAGAGCCCCCCACCTCCCCCACCCCCGCTGGCTTCCCCCGCCCGTCTCATGCAGAACGTCTCTGGCCCACGCTAACCTGCCCCTGTCCAGGAAAGGGGATGGGAACGGAGCCCCAGCCCAGGAAGTTGTCAGCTACATGGCGCAGCCATCCAGGCCACAGAGGAAAAGAGCGAGGAGGGGGGACGGGAAGTATTGGGGGGGTAGGGGTTGAGATTTTAGGAACGTTCAGGCCACGAGGAGCTGCCATCAGGTCGCAGTTTGGAGAAGGTGAGGGAGAAACGAGGAGACCTGGAGGGAGAATATTCTGAGCAGCCGGTACCCCAGGGGCCGCACCTGCCGCTCCCCAGGCTCTCAGTGGTCCCGCCCCGTCCCCGCCCTCCCCCTTCCCTCCAGGGGCCGCATGATGAGCCGTCGCTCTGGGGGCCATTGCGAAGGACTCTGACTTGTGTCTGCGGCCATCCTCGCCTCCCTCCTGGATTGAATTGCTCTGATGAAGCCAGGTGCTCTATTGGGGAGGCCTCTCCCGCCATCGGGGAGGAGCCGAGGCCGCCAGACCAGCAGCCCACGGGGAACTGCATCCCGGCAGCACCCAGGAAGTGAGCTTGGGCGTGGGGCCGAGAGGACCAGGGCCCCCCGTTGGCGGCAGCCGGGGGAGACCTGCACCCGAGAGGCTGCTCAGCCGCGCCGGCTCTGGGACCCGCGGAGAGCGCGAGGAGTATTGTTAAAGCCAGTGAATTCCGTGGCTTGTTACCGGCATCGGTAACTCCGACACGGGGCGCGCTGGAGGAGCGAAGGCGGCCAGGGTGGCTGGAGTGCAGTGCGCAGGCAGGAAGCGACGCGAGGACGGAAACGGCTACTGAGGCCTTTGGTCCTTGTGCGGTTTTCAGGGTCTTCAGGGTTTTAGGAGTGAGCGTGGCAGCCGCTGGGGAGTTTGAGTAGAGGAGTGACAAGGTGGGACCTGAGGTTCCATGTCCCACAGCTCTGTGGGGAGGAGCCCCAGGGCAGGGGTGGGCTGGGGTTAGAGCAGGAACGCAGGTAAGAGCCCTGGCTGGTGTGGCTCAGTGGGTAGAGTATTGCACTGGGGACTGAAGGGTCCCAGGTTCGATTCCAGTCAAGGGCACATGCCTGGGTTGTGGGCTCGGTCCCCAGCGGGGGGGCGGGGGGGGTGTGCAGGAGGCAGCCGATCCATGATTCTCTCTCATCATTGATGTTTCTCTCTCCCTCTCTCCCCCTTCCCCTCTGAAATCAATAAAAATATATTTTTTAAAAAAAGAACACAGATAAGAGAATGGGTGGGCTCACTGGTACTGGGGAGGAAACTCATGATCTGCCGGGAGCCAGTCCATGCTTGCTGTTTCAAGGGACCTGGCATATATGGCATACTGTTCTTAATATGTTTGCTCACCTTCTTGGCGCTATGTGTTTTAACCAAGGTCTCTGAGAAAGGTTGTTTCCCCAGGTAGGGATTTTCCCCTGAAGTTAGGGAGGGAATAAAACCTCTTAAGTAAGTGCCAGGAGGGTAATTAATCACTTTAACTACGAACAATCATGCTTAAGCTACATAATCTTTACTCCCTGGAATGGAGATAAGAA